ATGCAGCTTGTGATAAGCTGACAGGAGCTGGACTGAGCACAAATATCTTAGAAACATCAGTGGATAAATGCAAAAGTTTTGTTTTCTTTCAAAAGTGTGTTTGCTATGCTTCTCTTTTCAGAATATAACACATTGCATTAATACCAGCGTCTATATTTATAACACCTTACACTTCCTAAGTGTCCATTTTGTGCATTTTGTATGTTCTTTTTTTTTTTTTTTTAATGGACATGTTTTAATTATCATTAGAAATCTGTGACCAAGGAGATTAGACTTGTTCAGCAGGACTGTTTTCTCAAGACATCCTGGCTGCAGTGGAGTGACTCTGATGACTCTTGCACAGGTGGGCAGATGGGACAAGGCTGGTTGAGGTGACAATCCTGACAGTCCTAGCTGAGGAAGCAGAGCCACTGCATTGGACTGATGTATGATAAAATTGCTTCTCAGCAAATGTAGCCTGTCTTATTCTTTCTGCTAGATGTAATGGAAGAAATAGTTAACCAAAACAGGATGACAGCAACAACATATGTTTTGGCAAAAGGCCATGAGGGTTTATATCAGTTAGCGTTGTGTGTTTGTTCCATACCAACTAAAACCATTTAAACTCCGTGGGAAATATTGAAGAATACAAACACATTCACAAATTTGATTGACTATGGAAGGCTATAAGATAGATCACAAATGATAAATTCAGCTTGAAAAACAAGCAACATGAGAACAAAAGTTGAAAATGATGTAACTGAGAAACAGTCTTCTAGAGAAATAATCTAAATTTTGATTTCTGCTAAAAGACAATTATAAATGTGGAATGGTTCCCTCACTCTCAAGAGAAAGAGATCTTGCACTGAGGCTACCTGTGGGAGTCAGCAGATGCCTTTGGGTACACTGAGAAAAACAGTCCTTCAGATAAGATGACTGATTTAGTGAAATCCAGTATTTTTTTAATTCCAATTCTGAGAATGAATCACATGATTTTCTACAGATAATTGGCTGGTGTCCACTAAGTCTTGAAATTAACTTTACGTCCTACTTTGTGATTGACATCTCACTAATTAGATGGCTTTCAGCTGGGGGAGTTTTGGTGATCTGGCCTGCTGCAGTTAGGTGCCAGGACCCTTGGCATACTCTTTGCAGCTGTGCTGCAGACTTCCTGCTAGGAACTTTGTGACTAAGCTCCATTATCCAACTTCCACCTATCTGGGAAAAGCTCATCAATTTAATACAGTTTTAGAAATGGCTCTTTATGGGTACAGCTAGTGGCAGTTATGCAGGTTCAGATGATTCTCTGGAAATCTTCTGGTAAACCGCACAGTTTAACAAAGTTACTGATTCAGAACCAGAGTGGGTAAGATGGCAAATTTCATCATGTGTTTGAAACTGTTTTGTGTATCTATGGCTTTTTTGTATGTGCAGTCCAAAGCATTACAGTGGCCTTCAACAAAGATAGCTCTCTGTATTTAGCACTAACATCAAGGTAGCTTTTACTTTCTTGTTTTGCTCTGTACTCGTGTAGTCCTGGAAGAGCTTCCAAGGGTCAAGGTAGCACTGCAGTCACATAGAGTTCTTTGTCTTCAACAACAAAGATTGTAACAACAAAGATTTAGTAATCGGTAAAACCAATGGACCAAGGCCAGTAGAGGCATAAACAGTGACTGGACTTCTTGAGCCCAGCTCTTAAATGGTGTAAGTGAACCTACTGTGGTCCAAAAAATCTCACCTTTTTTTGGATCTTCTTTGTGTCAGTAGCTTAAAGGCTAAACTAAGACAAAAGGATTGGAGTGACAGCAGTAAAAAGAATTGTAATAGATCTAAGGCATGGCATAACTGTTTTATTTTGTCTTTTCTTGTTAATTGCTTTTCCTTCTTCATGTCTGTTTCTGCACCTATTTATACAGGAGATGAACAAGGCCAGAAACTGATTGTACCAACATTAAGATGTCCTGTAATGAAGGAATGAATGTCCAGGTCTTTCAGCACTTCTGTACTGAAACACTTAGCAGATAGGATTGCAGATCCTGCACCAAACCTTCTTGCTCTGTGACTGTCAGGGATTGGCAATTCATGTATGATGCCTAGGGAGCAAACTTTGAGCTGCTGCGTTTCTACTATTGCAGGTTGTTGTTGTTGTAAGCCCTGATTATGAACTGCCCTAAGCTTTGCCTTGTCACTTGTCACTGCCCTGATGCGTGCCAAGAGGTAAAGTAAGCAACACGGATGGCATCTGGAAGAAAGGGAGACAGGAGGAACTCAGCTTGGCAGATAGTGGATCACAGCAGGGTGTCAGTAGTTTATTTAGTAAATAGTGGTTTGCTAAACAGCCATTCTTTAGCTGCAGTGGATTATTTCCAGCCTCAGTAATATTTTATTATTATTGTTAAGAACAAAAGCATACAGTAGCTATAGGAGAATGGTGGTTCTCCTAGCTAAGATTCATCGCTCATTAACAATTTAGTTGTGTGATTTTAGATGTGCTGGACTTCTAAGTGGTTTTTTTTTTTTCCTAATTCTTGTCGTACTCAAACACACCCATTTTAATTAGCAAGAAATTAAACTTCCTGCAGGAAGAAAGAGTAGTGTTATCTGGTTTGTGCATAGGCTGCCTCCATCACGCTAATGCATAATCAAAGAAAATACAATTCCAGCTCTGCATATCTGAGGCCCAGTCCTGTGCTCCAGTCTGCCCATCCTCTGCTCGTATAAATGGGTGAGTCCTCAGGCTTTGCTTGGGGCAAAAAGTATCATCTCATAATAAAAATAATTAAAAAAAAAAAAAAGAGTAATTCTATGCAAGGACTTAGATTTAATAAAATCAGGTACTCTAATAGGCCAGCTTCAACTGTCACTGTGTTGGAAAGCAGGTGATCCTCCTGAAATGTCTGGAGCTGTACCAGTCTCATATTTCAGAGATCAGAAGCAGTTCCAATCTGCTGAAGAATGAAGCAGTTCTGTTATTTGTTGGAAGCAAAAAATCAGTTATCCAAATCAACAGTTTCTCTGCTATGTCCCACCTCAGTTTTATACTATAAAATAAGTTACATGGGTTACATGGGGTGCTCTTCTAAGTATGTTCCACTGTGTTTATTAATAAGGTCTTTTTTTTTCCTTCTTCAGGCAGCTTTTCCTCTAAACAGGACTATTTATGCACTATTTTTTTTTTTTTTTTTTTTATATTTTTATTAAAACCATTCTAAGATCCAGGAAAAAGGTTGATTTTTTTTTTTTTTTAATTTTTATTTTTTTTTTTACTTTCTGAAATTACTATAAATATTTCCTGGTAGTTCATGGTGTCTGTCATACTGTTTGTAGCCATGTGTTTTTAGATATTTTAAGTGGGATGTATGAGGGAGGTTAGTTTTACAGCAGGATTTCCCAAACTGAGGTATGGAAGTAGAGGTGAAAAAGCAAATACATCAATCTGCTTCCAGTGCAGGGCGTGCTGATTTGTGCTGGGGAGGAAGGGAGATGAGTGGAAGAGCTCATGTGGGAGAGAGGAACATGGCAGAGACAATTGAAAAGGACCAGTTTACAGAAGTTTAAAGATAAATGCACTTATTTATAGTCAGTAGTCTAAGTTGTGTTGTTTGGCATGAGCTGGTTTCTCAGTGTTTACAGCACTTTCACTAGAGCTATCAGTTAGGGATGGGGGGTTGCTGTAAGGGAAGGAGAACATCCCTGTGTGAAAATGCCATGAACTCCTTGCTTACCAAGTGGCTTAAGATAATATAAAAGGACTCAGTGTTTTGACTCTAAATGCCAAGGGAGCAATACCTGAAAGGTCTGAGACTGTAGCACTGGACTACACAATTCCCTATTTACTACATATGGTATATTTAGTAACTAATCAGCCAACCTAATAATTTAAAATAGTGTTTGACAAAAAGGTCAAATGTTTAACATTAGGGCTGGGAGAGCCATAGGAATCTGAAGTAGAATGTTCTTTGGAACAGAGTGCAAGATGCAGCTCCTGGCTTTGCTGTTGTCTCTCTCAGTTCCTCCTTTCATTCTGTACAGGTGTCATAATTTCTAAAGTTCAAACAATTCCATACATTTTCTGCTTCTGGAGGATGTAAGTCTGTGGAAATCTCAGTTCCCAGATGACAGACCAAACAACTCTGTCTCTGGAAGCTTCTTCTCCCGAAGTCTTTCAAAAAGAGCTTGTTGAAAAGTGTCATAGTTTCTGGAGCAAACAAAAGTTCCCCAGAGTAGGTGGAGAACTCCGTATTTTGTGGAAATCTTATTAGAATGCAATGAAAGAGACTTTTCAAATTAAATAATTGCTTTATAAAACTTAGCAAACATTATGTTCCAAGTCTGCCAGCCAAATGGATCTCAGCCAGAGGGGTGAGGAGTGAACCAAACCAAGGCTGGGATAAATATGCTCCACTTCCACACTGCCTGTGAACTTCGCCGATATATGCAGAAGCTAGAAATAGCCACAGTGTGCTGCTGATCTATAGCACAACCTGGGCAGCATCAGAGCCTCGTTTCCTCAGTAAAACAGAAAGAAAATACAGTTGTAAATGAGACTAAATGCTGTACTTGGATCCAGACTGTGGGACACACATCTGACTTTATCATAGTTACTATCCTCCCTCAGCTCCTGTTTCTCTGTCTGTCTGATAGTGTTCCCACATTTTGTTCTTCATGACTCCCTTCATGACAGTTAGTAGTTTATTTTTCTGTCATCTTATTTGTCTACAGTGGCCTTGGCTGCTTTATATCTGCCCGTGGGTCCCACCTCAGTTGCAGATGTTTGAACTAACCTGGCTCCTTGCTGCATCTTCCAGCTGAGGAAATTGCAAGTATTATCATGGCAAGCAGAACAAATAGAGGGTACACCCTGCACCTCAGATTGCTGTAGCACTTTTTATAAACCCATGTGGCTAATAGCAGACTTCTCATTTCTTGGGTTGGTGGGTTTTTGGTTTTTTTTTGTTTGTTTGTTTGTTTTTGGTGAATTGGCAAATGTATACTAGAGGAATGAGGTATTTGACATTAAAAATGGGACACACCTTTTAATTCTCATGAAAGCATTATCACGAGAAGCCTTCTTACATCAACAGAGAGAGAACAAGTTAAATATTTTGTTTCAAAGGGATTATCCCTACCCAACAGGGAACAGCTGGCATAAAGCGTTGATCCACCTCCCATTGCAAACATGAGCCAAACTCCTGTTGATTTCGTTGGTACGGAATCAAGCCCTTATTAAGTCCACGACCAGCTTTACACAACTTCTGTCTCTGTCTACTTCCCTCATCCACAGGCTGACCTGCCACCCTGGAGAACCTGAGGTGAAGAGGGCAGTAATGAAACAACCAAAAAAAGAGAAACATTTTAAGAGGCAAACGAGTAAAATATCATGAAAACTTGAAATATATTCAGTTGCGCAGTACATATCAAGCAGCCCTACTAACTTCAATCCAGTCCTTCTGTTCTTTCTGTATGAAAGGACACATAACAAGGAGTAAGATGTATCCAGGATTTTCACTCATGAAATAAGGTAGCCTAGATTCTTACCTTTTCTGTGTCAGCAAGGTTCCTCTCCAGGCTCTGTCTCATTTCTGTGGCAAGCTGCTTGAAAATGACTATTTTGTTATGGTACCTCCAAGTTCTGTACACAAATCCTTGTGCACAAAGCACAAGTTACTCTGTTACTCAGGAGACCTTACTCTCAGATCTAGAAAGGGCTACAGGTTTCTTCTTCTCTAATCTGAGTGTTCTCGTCAAGAGGAGAAAATAAATTTTAGTAGAACTTTTAGAGCACATATATTGCTAAAAAAATCTGGACATGAGTTGGGTCCTAATCTCTAATATCAGCAGGCTTCCTGTCTGTCAACATCCTGTCCTTTCACTGTTCTCCTGTTGGAATGCATTTCTGCTCAGTGGCAGACCAGGTTGAAACCACCAGTGCCTAGGAGCAGCAAAAAAGGTAATAATGAGTTATTAAGAGCCATATGGAATGTGACAGTGAAAAAACTGGGGTTGAACTCTCTTATGTTATCTAAATGTTAGTACTTATGAACAAGATATTTTCATATCCTTTCTAATACTTTGAGATAAATTTTCATCTATCATAGCTATCTTCGTTTTACTCAGTTAACAATGAATGATCAGTGAAACATTTTGGAATAGAAAAGACTAGATGATTCATATAACCTCTGATGTGAAGGGTTTTCAAATTTTAAAGTAAAAGTAGTTATGTCTCTTTCACAACATGTAAGAACCAAGAAATTATATAGGAGAGCTAAGAAGTTTGAACTGAATAACACAGTTGGCGAAATGTTCATACTGATTTGATTTTTTGATAATCAAATTGTGTTTCATTGTTCAGCATTTCCACAAGTTCTCAAACAAAGAAGCTGTCTTCACAGCCATCTCTTTTCACTGAAAGTCACCTTTTGATGATAGTGGTGTGACTGTGTGAGTGTTATATAACTGCAATTTCTATCTCCTGAGGAAGGTGCTGTGCAAAAAGCTGTGTTTCATCTTCTTTATTAAAACTGCCAGAAGATCCAAGATGTGAAAAGGAGTCCAAAGTCTTGCCCAGCTGTGGCTAGCAAGGAATCTAGAAACATTGCCATAACGTTCCTGTTATGCACACGCTTCTGATAAGTCTGTGTGAGGACTGTAGGATCAAATTCTCTGCTGGAATGAAAAACATTTCTTTGGTGTCTGCCACACTTTTAGTACCTGTTTCAGCAAAGACCTTGGTTACTAAATGCTAAAATACAAATTGTATAATCCAACTTGTATAATCAGTGTTTTTATCTTTGTGCCAATGCACATAAAGAGGTAAATGTGATGCATACATGACTTCTTCATGGAACTTCCACTGTTTAAGCCTATGAGTGGTAAATTAAGTGCCCTGTTCAGATAGATTATTTTACAATAATGATAGCCTTTGCTATTGCATGATTTCCAAAAACATATAAGCCTCTTCTGTGTGGAAGGCTAGATGTGCTGCTCCACTGTTCTGGACCAATATCTGTGGTTTTGCATTTTTAGCTATTTCTTTTGAAATTTCTGGTTAGCTAAAAAATCAAGATATTCCAGGTTATTCTATTTATGAGGAGAAAATGCAGTGAGATACATACAGAGAGACATACTACTTTTTTGCAGCAAATAAATAAATAAAAGGGGCAAAGTTCAACTTTTCTGACCCCTGATCAAGTCAAACAACCAGAATAATTTTACCCTGTTGCCTGTGAAATTTTCTTCAGCCACAGCTCATTCCTTATGCTCACCCTTAGCTTCTTGTGGGGATGTGCTGTCTGCTTATCCTGCCTCCTCTCCTCTTTCCTGTAGTGCCTCTTTGGTGGCTTTGCTTCCCACCCACCTCTGGAAGACACTCAGTGCAATGCTCAGAAGATTCAATTTCTTCACAGTCCATCTCTGAGCAGTCAGGCCTTGCCTGTGCTTTGCTTTGGAGGCTGCATATCTTCACAGTGGAATGAGTTGCTCCTTCCCAGCTAGCTCAGCTGAGGGAAAGTGACTGCAAACACCAGCTCTGGCAGTGCTTCATCCAACCAGTCATAAACTGTTTTCTACCAAAATTATTCTCATAACTCTCTTTGCGTAAACAAGCAAGCCTGAAAAGAAGAGGAATAAAACATAGAGTGGTTTAGAATTGTATACTAGGAATAATTAAACTTTTACTAAAATGCTTCTGTCATTTCTCTATTTTTACTCACCGTGAGGAGGACAGCATGTTCTCATCTCTATAGAGTCACATAAACGACTTGATTAAAGTGCGTGATGCAGAGCTGAATCTGGGCATTTGAAGCTTCCTTGCTGTTTTCTTAAGGTATTTGTATGATAGATGAGGAAAAATTAAGTCCTCTGCTCCCGTGCTTAGTTCATCTTGTTATGATGTAGATATATTTTCCACACATTTGCAAATAGGGTAAAGAACAAGAGCACTTTAGCTATTTAGAGTCTTTAGAAGAAGAAAGGCAGTTTAGATTACCAGCAGCCTACAGTCTGCTTGGCACAAAAATGTCAGTTTTAATGGCAAAGTTCAGGATAAAACTGTGTCAGCTAATTTAATCATTTACCATGAAATACCAGTTATCTTAATCTTACATGCAGTCCTTCAGTCTGCTGCATATTTTTTGTAATTGAATCCTGACCCTAAAAGGGAGCAAGCAAGGAATTTGCTATTCAATGAATAGTTCAACTCTAAATGTTTCTGTTTATAAATTGTATTTGCAGCATTGTCGGATATTTTAATACTGAGTAGCTAATATTTCTGATGAGTCAATTTTTTTTTTTTTTTTTTTTTTTTTGCTTCATATTTGTTTTCCATGCTGCAAAAATCATATTAGTATTCAGTTTCTATGAAACTTGACTGAGTTCTCTGGAAAAGTGCAAATATTGTTCCCAGAACTTAAGGCAAATAAATTAGTATCTAGCCCAGATGACACAATTTATTCATGTGGTTTGCTTTCCATCTAGATACCTGATGTATTACTTCAGCCGCAAATTCAACAAGGCCAAGATGTCTTCATTTTCCTCCAGAGCAAGAGCTGTACAAGCATTGTGATGGAAGTATTGGTCTTCTGTGGCCAGCCAGCGAGAACCCATCAACAGCTGTGATGAGCAGAGCAGACAGAGAGACAGGAGGCAGCTGAAGCCAAAGAGGACCCACGCCTGGAGCTGTGTGTGTGATTGGAGCAGAGAGAGGCCAGGACCCAAGGAAATCCCAGCAGCGAGGGAAAAAAACAGATTGACTCTCAGTGACTCATTTAGCTCCTGGATTGGACAGATCTCTCCCCTGCTGGCAATTTGGCTGAGTATCAATGGACAGATACCAGGATGAATAGCTTAAAATAATTAGGGGTTGGGAATCTGCAAAACTGCTAGCCATCCAATTCTTTACTCTGCAATGTGAGGCACAAAAAAGAAATTACATTTAGGTTATTAAATATTAAGTCAGTGGATTTGCCTCCATTTGGTCCAGAACAGGAAACTGGATAAAATTCAACATTTATTTCATTGTGTTGATGGCCTGTTTATCACTGAGCGGGTGAGTGCATTTTGGCAGGTCAAGCTCTTTGACACATGGGGCGAACGTGTGCTTAATTTCCCAAACAGAAGAATTAATATAATAATAATTAACACAGATGAGAACAGAATTAAAATCAAGTACAGTCAAGAGTTCAGTTAAATGCCAGATATCCTGCTTTCTGTGTGTTCTGGGACCAGATTTTTTTACTGTTGAAGGCACTGAGGATTTTGCTATTGGTGCTGATGGGAGATGAATGGTGCTGGATGTAAGAGACTGGATTCCCTGTACTTTCTATTTAGTGCTTAAAAACAGAAGCAACAGGCTCATTTAGTATCAGTAAAGGTCAGTTAAAATTATAGAGACATCCTTTGGAGCAAATCCTCTGCCTTGTATTTGCATATTTATGAACTAGAGATTACGACGGGCTATTCCATTTATTAGAGCAGCATCTCTATAGTTAATTGTCTGTCAGTATTTCCATTATAAACCCCGTTTTTCAGTGTTTTAATATCTCAGCCATTTAAAATCACATCAGGAAGCAAGTTGGCCTTGTGTTTCAGGCCAGGTGCAATTTTTTGTTCTGGATTATTATCAGTAATCAAATACTGTTCATTATATATGCAAATGAGTCACGACATTTCTGGTGGGGGAAAAAAGCGAAGCGTGGAAGTTTATTGTGGCTTTGTGTTTTGTTTTTGTTTTTTTTTTTTTAGAAAAGAAGAGAAAAGAGGAATTTGACAAATGATGGCAATTGAGACTTCATGATTTAATAACAGCATCTCAAGCAGTTGTTCTGAAGTGGTTCTCAGTGTGAAATGAGGTTGCCACATGCTTATCAGTGGTAATAGAGGTATATGGCTACAGACGCCTTGCCCCTCAAAAGCTTCTTGTCTGCCAGAGTCCTAGACGAAGAACACCAGGTAAGAAAGCAACATGAGCCTCTAGAAGTAACAATAACCCCAGTTGTAACTTCAAAAACTGACCTCTTTTTAAATGTTCTCCAGATGTAGGGAAGTGCAGTGGCCTTATTCCTGTTCTATGGGGTGGAGAAGTGGGGCTTCTGAAGCTCTCAGGAAAAGACAGTTGTGAAGATACTGTACATGCATCTCTGAGCTGAGCAGTATCGCTCCTCACAGCAGTCCCACATCCTACTCCTTCCAAACAGATCCTCTTTGTTTTCTGACAGTTGCTGGTTGGATAAAAAGTAACTACCTGTCAAGGGCAAGAGTTTAGACTGAAATGCCAATTTTTAACCTGTAAGGGCAGCAAGAAATTGTTCTTCAGTAAAGAAGTTGGTCTTACTCTATAACCTCTTGCCCCATGAAAAGATAAACAGTCTAAAAAGGAGCCCCCGGGTATTGATTTATCCTCAGTGCCTTGAAATATCACTTGCAGGCACAGTAACTGGAAAGCTAAAATTCAAATTCACTAAGAGAGGAAAAAAAGTTGTTCACAAAGTGTTTGTTGCTTTTTACTATTTTGCCTATGTATAGTTGAAGAGGGAAACAGTCCATGTTACCTACTCTTTCTGCCATAACGGTCTGTGTGCAAACTGGGGACTCTGCAGAAGCTAACAAGGGCAGACCAGAGGCTATGGAAGCATCATGTACAGTCCATGTACAAACCTGGGTGAGACCTAGGGCTGGGCCTCTGCTCTGTGCTCTGTTCTATGAATTTTGATATAGCAAGTTTAGAATTTGCATTGCACAATGTTTTGGGTACATCTTTTAAGAAATTATTGCAAAAATACGTCTGTGATCTAAAGTCTCAAACTCCAAATAGTGATCCAGACTTTGCGACCATGAGCCCAGATCAAGACATTCAGTTCCACAGCCTAATGGCTCAGGCTCATCAGTCAGTAGCACTTTTTTGAAACAATAGTATTTCTGATAATTTTCAGGTAGCTGCTGGCCTAAATTGAGTTTTCCAGATTCCTTCCAGAATTGCCATTGTAAAAAACAGTCTGCTTTTGCCAGGCACCTCGTAGTACTTTTTCAGCTAGAAAATTATCTCTGGTTCTATAGGTGATCATAACTCAGAAGTAGGCAGACAACGGAAATTCTGTTTTGAATGCAAAATTACTTTAACAGATTTATAAAGCAGGTGTATTACCCAAAGTAAGAGTGCAGAAGGGAGGGCCTGCTGAAAGTGTTTAGAATGTATGAGGTAGTAATTATTTTGTGTTGTCTGCTGAAAGATAAGTCCATTCGCAGTAAGCTATCTAAACAGTGCTTTTTACTACATGTTTGTTATGTTTTGGTTTTCATTTGCAGTGACACAAAGTCTTGCATAACCAAGTTGAGTGCATATTTGAATATTAAAAATACTAATTATTATGTAATTAGTCAACAGGATGTGTGTAATTGTGTAATACCAGAATTCCTGGGTGTGGTAAGAATGTAGGTAGAATGCCAACACTCATCTAGACACAGTGTTATAAAATTACACAGCATATCCCCTGGCTGGGTACTGTAATTTACATTTAAGCAATGGCTATATTAAGAAAATAGGACTTATCTTTTTTAAAAAGAATATCTTCCCGCTGGCATTAGTCTTAGTAAATTGTGATGATAATTATATCCAAATAGGGTGCATTCCATCTCCCAGGGGACTTCTTCATAAATATATAAATAGGAGATTGGAACCAGTTGTGGCAGGAAGCCACCCCAAAATGGACGTGTGACAGTTGCTGCATCCTGCACAGGAGTAAGCAATTGCGGAGAATGTACTGGAAGAACTTTCTATCTCATGAAAAATCATGTGAGATTAAGCAGAAATCTGAGCGGAAATTATATTATTTCTATGATTTAATAGACATCAATACCGTCCTTAAACCATGGTGGAAACATAATATATAATGAATCAGATTCATCTTTGGACTTACCCATGAAGATCTAGGTTACAGTCATAAGATGTACTGAGCGTTTTAGTTGCCTATGACCCGTGCTAAGATTTTTTGCCAATGTAGTGCAAAAATCTTCTGTACTCATGGCCAACACTCCCCAGCACCCACCTAGTTGTCACTCATCCTTCCTATGGTGCATCTGTGGTCATTGACGGGCACGCACTTCACTGGGGCCAGCACTAAGTGGCTAAGTGGTGGTGTTCTACAGTATGGACAGATAAGGAGGATTGTTCTTTTACATGGGTCAGCACTTCTCTCTTTTTGTGTAGATTCACAGTGAAAAATTCAAGAGGAGAACGGAAAGGTGAAAATTCTAACAGCAAATTAAAATGACTGGGCTCTTACTCAATAGAAATGTAAAATACTGGAGCCTAAAGCCGGGTTTTTTCCATGTGCCTGGGTGGAAAAAGGTGAGGTGCCCTGTGAGGATGATTTTATCTTTTACTTTTTAGTCTGAAGATCTTCGATGTGGTTTGGCAAGTTCATAAAAATATTTGTGATAAAGTTGAACTGCTGTCTGGAAATGTAACATACATCTCAAAGAAGCTTGAGAAGAAAACCCAGAAGAGTCAGCACTACACATGAACGAGGTAAAAAATTGCAGACAATTAGCTACTAGATGACTCCTACTAAATAAATTATCAAAGACCTGACTGCTGCTTCCAGGTTTCCACAATAGTATTGGCTCATTGAAGAAGCCAAAAATTGCTTAAGATGTAATTTTGGCCAAAGTTTTAGGAATCTGCTGTTCTTGTTTGAATTCACTGATAAACCAACAACACCAAGGCTATAAAGCGGGGGGCTTCATGTTTCTAAAGAAGATACTATGTTTATTGCTCAGAATGAAAGGCCATATGATATGGGAAATTAACTTCTTTCTGTTAAATGAGACGAGTATGGAAAAGAAAAACGACCTGAACATGTCATGGACTCTCACATCTTATTTCACTCAGTAAAGCACTTTGCTTGTCCAATTTAATAGAGAAGCAAAATTTCCCTGCCTGTATGCCTCCAATAATCAGGTCTAGCACTGATCTCATTTAGAGCTTAGTCCAAGACCCAAAGTAAAGGGAAAATATTCTCATTGCTTCCAGTTGGCATCTGGTCATTCTTGCATGGTGGTTTTACTTAAATGTATAAATAGTTCTGAGCTTCTCCCAGGAAAAGTAAGAGATGTAAATGATAAGACATAGGAGTGTGTACGTTCAACTTTCCAACCTCCTGCTACTTGCAGCTGATAGGACCAGTACTTTGGCTTGGCAAAGACTTCTTAATTTATCTGCCCTTTCTGTAGGATTAACTGATTGGAAAGAAAAAAAAAAGAAAAAAAAAGGGCTCACTTTGACCCTCTTTATTGCTGCATCTGGGCAGCTCACCACAGTTGCACTCTCGCTTACTGCCTGAGATTTAACTTGTGTCCCTGCCCTGTTGTGATAATCCTCTGAATGTCATTGTTGTGAAGGTTTTGTTCTTTCCAAAAGCTCTTCAAAAGTTCTGTGAAGGCAAGTAGGGTTGCTTCAGATCAAAAGGAAATTGTATGTGTCACTATAATGAATGGAAATATGCAGACTAATGATTGAATTTAACAGGAAATTGAAATGCTTGACTTTCCACAAGTCCAGTTTACGTTATTTGAACTCCTAGCATTCCTAGGTGAACCTCACCCCAGTTGAGGGCCAGCCTAAGGCCTAGTTATCACATGCAATTCAAACTGTCTTCAGAATAAGACTGAAGTGGTACACAAGCCTCACACTGTCTTTCTGTGCAGGAATTTAAAAAGAACCTGATTTGGAAAACCCTAGGAAAAAAATACTGACGTTTTGCACATCAGAAAAAGCTAATTAGAAACACTTTTCTTTTGTAACAAATAAGCCAAGCATATTGACATTAATTATAAAAAATACTCAGGGTTTGGAATAATCTGTTGAAGAGCACAGATGTATACCAAATCCTATGCAAATGAGAGTGTTTGCAACTATTCTTCAGGTAACACATTTACTTATAAAAATAAGGTATGTGTTTGGGTTTCTTTTTAATCATTAAAAGTCTTTCTCTTGCTCTTCCTCAATATAGTGAGATAGCTGTATCTGTTCAGCACAGCCTTGCATGCGTTCCAGGAGCTGGGAGCATATTCTTTCCTTACATGAGTTAGTACTATTTTGTCAGCTTTCCTGGCATTACATCACTGTAACTAGGAGCAGAATTTGTTCTCCTTTGGTAGTAAATTTCCTTTGGTTTCAAAAAAAGCTAATGGAATTCATAATTGCATTTATAATTTTCAGTTTGTGTCCCTGAGCTTACTAGTGACAGAAGTATTTAAATAAAATGCTGTGAATGAGATTTGTTATGTTGTCCTCTAGTGCTAGTAGTGACTTCTAATAACATTGGCCAGAAAACTTTGCTTATCATTTCTTTTAGTCCAACTGGCTGCAAAGAAAACTTACTTTTGATAGCATTAGTACATGATAAGAGTTCTTCTTGTGTAAGGGCCGTGACAGGCAGGCTCAGCTAGCTGAATTGCTCCATCCCAATTGCTCCCATTCCCTGCCCCATTCCCTTCTCTTTTGCTCCTTCCATCTCATGTACTGCTTTTATACAGGTACTAGACACTTCAATTTCTAAGTCAAATTCTCTTATAGAATCTGACAAGTATTTATCTTAAGGATATCTCTTAAGTTTGGTGAGAGAGCTTGCACAGGAGCTGCTCAGTGGTCATTGTAGACTGTCACCTGGCAGGGCTGGGTTTGGACTGGCAAGCTTTAGGCCCCAGATCCTGGAGCCTGCTTCACAATTTCTTAGCCAGCCTATGAATGCCAGATTTTAGCATATCTACTCCTATAAACACCTGTCCACAAGGCCAAGTGTTGGTAGTAAATACTTAATTTCTCTCATCACCAGTAAATGTTGCCAGCGCTGGTTCAGGTTCCTTGAATGCTTTGCCTAACAATCCTCTAAATGTTTCACAGATATTTCCAGGGATACTGGGGTGGCACAAGTTCCAGAAAGTTTTCAGTAAAGTGTCTGCTTTCACTGCTCAGGTTCAAGCCCATTAAAGGATTTGAGAAAATCCATTCAGTGCTTTGCACAAAGAACAAATGTGAACCATTCCGATGATTTTCAGGTATCATTTCAAGCCACTACAAAGTGTTGGGAGAAGGGGAGGAGGAAATCTTTGCATATGTTCTAAAGATTTGTCAGCAGTTGGCCTTCAGACTAGCTTGAAGATTTTGGTAATGCCAGCAGCTACCGGAAGGTCCAGACAAACTCACACTAGAGATTGCCTAAGCCTTAAATTGCTGGGAGCTTACACACCAGCTGTGAATCAGCAGCCTTTGACCTGTTCTTGTATTTCCACTTCCGAGCATCCACTACTGGTAAGTGCCAAATATAAAATATTGTAATAGTTGGATCTCTGTTCAACCTAGTATGCTTGGTCTTGTTATTATGTTTACATAATTTCTAGTTAAGATAGAAAGGAGACAGCTTCCATCATACCTGCTCATGGATATTCGTATGGAAAAGCAGCAGTTTACATTGACTCTGGTAATCTAAGGGAACACTTTTACAAAGAGTCACTTCTGAGACATGGATTCACTTAATTTGCCAACACAGTAGAAGAAGCACTATAGCAGATGCCAGCTCAGAGTTGCATAGGCTTTAGTGGTGTCTAAATGCAGAAAAGGGATCAGAGAAATGAGAGTATCAGATGGTTGTGAAGTTGGAATGAAAGATGCTATATATAATTTCAGCTGTTGGAGGTGCAGATGTTTCTGTTTGTAACTATTCCTTACAGACAGGTGAGCCTTCTAAATATTTGTTTATATCTGGCCAACATAATAAAACAAGAGGCATTACTTTTGGAGCAACCATTGTCCTTTATTGAACTCCAACCAAAGCAGATTGATTGTTGCTTGGGAACTAGTGGTCAGGAGCATTTTGTTGGATGTGACAGTTTGCAGTACTCACGCATCTCTGGCATTAGGGAAAGATGAGGTGAGGGAAGTGGGCATCTGCCCTAAAGGGGCAGCAAAAAAGCAAAGTCATGAATGGAAACTGTCTTCTGTTCTAGCATAAGTGTTTTTTTTTGCTGAAAATTTTTGAAATCTGTTGCTGGAATGATCAGCAAATTTTTCAGCCACTCCACAACTCTTCAAGTTCTTGCAAGGAGAAATTGATGCACCAAGGCAAAGAGAAGCCGGGTGGGAGAAGTCGAGATGCAGGAAGAAGACAGGCAGGCTCATCTTGGTGGCCTGGCAGGCAGCAGGGTATGGAGCTGAGGGGCACTGCTAGCAGGTGGAAAGAGTGGTTAGGACATACCTGCCAGAGGCCATAAAACTGGTATTGATGAAGGAGGTGCTAGAGATGCTCGGCAGGGAAGACTGCAGCAGAAGAGAAGAGCAGTGGTATTGGTGGAGGACACAGGGAGGAGTGGAGCTGTTTCTGCAGCCACTCCAGCCCAGGGTCACCTGGCTACTGCTCAAGGGCTGAGCAGGACTATTCCCTCTGGGACACTGGCATTACGTCCAAAAAGCAGGAGAGAAGCCTAACTCTCTTACTGTTTAACTGTGGAATCGGTGACATAACAATAAGGAAAAAGTCCTTCCACCTCCCCAGAAAGAGTTGGCTCTGTTCTGGCCAAAGTTTTTTTTAGCAGGAGTTTTCCTGGAGACTACATCTGCCCCATGGGTGACATCCCAAGCTCTGCTCGAGCCTGGCAGGGCAGTAAGGGTGCCAAGCATTTCAGAGGGAGGGATGGAGGATGCATATTTGTGCCAGATAATTAACAGACTGTTGCAGAAAAAAAAAAGCCACTGTGAGCCTCCAAGGTAAATGCCTCTTCTACCTTGCAGGCTCTGGAGCAGCTCAGCATGAGTTACTGGAGCAAAGGAAACTGCAGGAGAGGGACCTGCATGTACCATGCAGCAGAAGCTCCCATAGACCCCAGTTTCCTCAGCACAGGCCAGACTGTTGGCTTAACTCTGCTGATCTCCCTTCCCTAGCACTCTCCTCCAGCCTACAACAGCACTTCAGTGGTGTCAACAGCCTTCAGTAGCCTCCAAGAGACCTGCAGCAAAGGAGAGGTATTTGGGATTTGTGGGGGAGGCTGGTAGCTATTTTATTTGAGCTCTGCATTCTCTGTGCATTGAGAGCATTGCTCCTGTAGCTCCCTTTAGAGACCATGACATCCATTGCCCAGGTTGAGCAGCCCAGTATCCAAGGGAAAGGAGATGTCCAAGGGATGCTTTTGCTTATCACTGTCATGTAAATCAAGCCTAAATCTGAGTCCTTTGAAATGTGAGAAAATGAGAGATTCGATTATCCATATGGATCAATCTGGATTTATTCCAGATTGCTTCATTAATAGCAATCAAAGACATCACTTTAATGGATTTTTTATCCTCAAAATTATGATCATGAGGAATTTGTTCTGGCTATTGATTTTGAAAAGGCTTTTGATTCTCTTCAATAGCCTTAACTTAGTTCAGATTTAGGTAGCAGTAGGATTTAGTCTTAAATATGTTAGATAGGTCAATCTCCTTTATTCAAATCCACAGTTATGTTAAACTAATGACCATAGTTTGAA